CATCATTATTATCATCTGGGTCCCTGCGTTCTACTTCACCACCACCAACCACATCTCATGACATTTCTGTGTATTCCTTAATGCTACACATAAAAGTACATGTAGGTCTATTCAAAGCATAAACTTACTGTACACTGATTCTGCAAACATTTGGACCCAGATCGAAATCTCAGCCTATCTTAAGTTTATAAAAGATTGTAAAAATAAAAACGATTCTGCGTTTTACAAGAAATGCTAAAGTAACAGAAATGGACATATCTTCAAAGTAAAAAGGAATCTTCCAGACAAAACGTTGTACTGCCTCAAAGAAAGTTGCTTCTATGACATCAGTCATGTGAACTGGTCTTCTTCTGGTCTGACTGATTTCTCTGGTCTGTTGATTTATGGTTCTATTAAATAATTTAATCAAATCAGGGACAATAGCAACATCCCTCAAAAAGATTTTTAGAAATACCTTCAAATTCGGCATTTTATGGAGTCATTGTTTAGGTCCAATGCATTCCGTAGGGAACTGAGGGACTTAGAAAATACTCTGGTTTCAATCAAATCTCCCAAAGGTCTGATTTCCAAGTTCTATGCATCCTTATTCAGCTCTGAACCATCAAGCTTTGACTCTGTCAAGCACCTGTGGGAACGTGATCTGGAGGTGAAACTCAGTCCCTTAGATTGGCTCAAGATTTGCAGTGGAACCTTTCCTCAATGCACTTCTATTTCTATATATGAACAAAATTTCAAACTTTTTTATAGATCTTATTATACCCCTGTTCGTCTCCAGAGAATGTTCCCCAACCGTTCTAATCTGTGCTGCAAATGTTTGAGGCATAGAGGTACATTTTTCCATCTATTCTGGTCATGCGATTTATTACGGACCTTTTGGAGGGACGTTCATTCTGTGACTGAAAAGGTTTTGGGTGTTCGCTTTTCCTTGTCCCCTATGTTTTATCTTCTAAATGTTTCCCCCAACCATTTGGATGCACATTCTAAATCTTTGTTTACAATTTTTCAATTTCTTGCCAAGAAGTATATTTTGTTACAATGGACTTCACCATATGTTCCCACAGTAAATATGTGGCTCACACAGATTTCTGTCATCCTTCCTTTGGAAAATCTGACCCATGATCTTGATCACAAATCAGACACATTTTTGACACTTTGGGGTCCTCTTTTGTCTTTTCTGCTTGATCCCTAGGATTTTAGTATTTTATTATTTTGTTTTACAGCTCTATTTATTCTTGCCTTGTTTTTTTTTCTTTTTGTTTTGTTTTTTCCTCTTCTCTCTTGATGTCTGGGAGGTGACATAGACTGGAGGAGAAGACTGACACCTTGTTTCTTGTTCATGTGGGGTATTTTGTTGTAACTGTTTTTGTTTTGTTTGTTTCTTTTGTGTGTGTGTATGTGTGAGGCAGCACGGGTTTCTCTTTTGTTCTTTGTGTTGTAACTAATCTAAAATTAATAAAAATAATAATAAAAAAAAAGAAATCAATTTATCAATACCAGATGCCATATTCTCTTGTAGGGGTCTGTTAATGAAATATTGTTTGATAAAAAGCAACACCCAAAGACCCGCTGTCATAAAGGGGAGGAGATTCCTTTGGCATTTTCTCCTGTTGATTTTTGGCCTTGATGTTTTAATTAACACGAACCCACTGGTGACGTAAAACCCACATAATAAAGGGAATGACTGAAAATGTTGTCCCTTTTATGACTCTATGCTTCCCTCCCTCACTCTACTCAAGACAGTTCACTCAGAAATTCTCTTTTGAATATCCTCACAAACTCAGCAGCACAGCCTCCCTGTTTTAAACATCAGCTCCTCAGTAATTGGATCATCTCCTCAGTCATACTGATCTGGAAGCACATCATGGCTGAGTGCTGCACATGTTTCCACAGGACAGAGCAAGACAGCGGAGCACACTGTGAGGCCACAGTGGATGACCTCAGGATTACAGCTCAGCCCCTGCAGCATAAACTCAGCGGGACTAACACACACACACACGCACAGGCACGCACGCACACACACATGCACGCACACACACTGAGCAACTCACCTCACCCATGTCCCTTGCCACTGTTGTTTCTGTATCTCTTTTTCATCTCAAGCATACAAAGCCCAGCTTTAATGCAGTCCAAATAAATTTTAATTTATATTGCAGCTGCAGCACTCTTTGTCCTGAGGTCTTCTGGCATTTCTTTCAACTATGACTCATAAACCTCTTCAGAGTTCAGCTTGGGTGTGTTCGGCTCAACATGAAGCAACATTAAGATTTGGGATCTGTTTTTCTCCCCATCTTCCCTTGTCGTTAATGGAGATGCTCTGATCTCAGATTATCAACCAATTGTTTTTTTTATATTTAAACCCCAAAAGTTGATGCCAAAATTATACATACCTCTAGTAAATTTAAAAGCCCTGATTACAAGGCAACACTTAAAGTAGTAGAGGTGAAGAAAAAAAAAAGATTCTATGGACAATCGCAATTCCTAGACCTGGGAATTTATATCATAATCAAAACAACAAGTGGAGGAGTTGGACAGAAATTATAATGAGCTGACAAAACAGCAAAAACTAACCCTAACCCTAACCCCATATTTAACTGGTGAAGTTAAATAAAACGACAGAACAGAAAAAAATCCAAACACAATTTAACAACGGTTAACAACAATAAAAAACAGAATTCAGCTCCATATCATACAGCAGCAAACTAACTCTCGCTGTGCTTGCGTTGCCTCCACTCCTTTATCCAACATTTTTTATCACTTAAGAGAATTCACCAAACTCTCTCCATTTCCTCTAAATTGTCTGCCATGTGTCTGCCATATGGTATTGGAGGGCTTTAGGGGGAGTTTCTGTCTGGAATCTGAATGCTAGTGAGTGGAATCAGTGTGTGTGGTGTGTTGCTCCTGTTGTCTGGCCAGACACCACACACTGTACGACCAAAACTATTTTACCTGAGATTTATCGTCATGTGTCGTCTGTCATTTTATGAAAATCAGCTGACAATTTTAAAATCTTGCAGTGTGAAGCTTAGTCTGTTACTGATAATTTAAGCTACAGAATTTTAAACATTGCATTTCCTCTAGTCACTCACATAATTTAGACAGAATGTCTATACTGTTTGAATAGAAAAATTGGTTATTAAAAAGTGTTTCTGAATTGTGACTCTAAAAATTGGAATTGATTGAAAGATTTGCATCGCTATAAAGTGCAGTAATTCCCAGATTGTGAGCCACTACTTTTTTCCACAAGCTTTCAACAAGCAATGATACGGCTATCGTATGGATTCAATATATTGTGCATTCAAGTGTCAATTTGCCTTGTAACATTAAGAGCATCGAGGAAAGAGAGACTGAGGAAGTGTGTGACAAATAAAGTCATCTTCCAGCTCATTCATACCTCACTGTGTTGCGGAAACACAACAGACAAGCATCTGACAAACAAGAACAACTTCAGGCTGCAGCAAGAATTTGAGACGCAATGCAAACACCACAAAAGCTGCAGAGAGTGGACTCACATCAGAAAACAACTAGAACACTACACAACGAGGACACGGAGGGCTTCACAACACTGCGGGCTAAATCTGGGCAAGATATACTAAAGAGTTTGAAAAGCATTTGCCTTTCTTCATCTTGTTCAAGTGTGAAAATTCAAGGTATAATGCTGATTGAGAAAAGAGGGAAGAAATTTCCTGCATTTACACTGTAAAAACAAGTAATCTGTGAAGGTCTCCATGACATCAGGAGACTCTTCAATTTTGGTGGAGATCTGCACGGGATACGGAATCTGATGTGACAAATTTGCATATTTGCTCATGACAAGCAGGGATGCATATGCATTGAAATGTGACACGCTTTGAGTTAGAAAGGGGCTCTTTGACTCTATGTGTAAACTGGATAGAAATGAAAATATGTTGCCCAGATCTGCAGTACCAACAGAAACGAGTTGTGAGGGAGGAGGAAGCGTGAGGTGGGGGGTGAGCTGGGCAGCAGCCCCAAGCGCCAAAAACAACAACAGAACGAAATGGAAGGGACGGTAATGTCAACACAGAGCGAGCCCTCGGCTCGTCGGCTCACACGCCCTTACTTGAGGTGAGCCTCCGGGTGAGAAGCCTTGATTGGAGACAGGAGAGGTTGGAGACTGATTGGCTGAGGACCCGACCCTGTGGCGGTACTGCTGCAGGGAGGCAGCCTGACACGAGAAGATACATCTGTTATTCAGACAGGAGCGCCTTCTACAGTCATATGCAGTTCCGTTCCTCTCATACTTCAACATTTACTCTTAAACCAAGTTTTCTCATGTTACAACCACAAACTTTAATGTATTTTATTGGGACTTAACATGCTAGATCAACACAAATGACCTTGTAATTATGAAACGGAGGAAAATAATAACACAAAGCTATGGTTTCCTGATGGTTTCTACACTACAAATCAGTCTTTGGAAAGTGTGGCATGTACATATTTTTGTTTTGTTCCTTTTAGTTTAATACCCATAAAAACCTAGTGAGATCCATTGGCTCCAAACGACATTTAGAGATGCTACTGTTACATAACATTTTGACAGAAGACAACTTATAATTTTTGATCAATTTCTACTACGGGAAATATGTTGCCACTGTTAAAGAACCAACATTTTATTTGTACTTTTAGGCTTTAAAAAAAAAAAAAAAAAAAAAGGAAAAAGAACAGATGCATTTTTTATAGGATGCTGATCTGTTGAAAATTATTAATTATGCAAAAATTTCCAAGCTAAAGACAAGATAAATATTACTGGCAGTTTTAGTGTTATTCTGTTGTGGAAATCCAATGAAATTATTCCATGAGAATGTGATGAGACCAGGATTTGTCTATATCTATATTTAAAAACATTTGTTTTTATAATAAATTTATAAAGAGCTGTTGTTGACGACCCAAAGTGTCACTTGCAGATTCGGAGCCCCAGCTTGCAGACCTCTGGTCTAAACCGACAGGCTGGACAGAGACAGAGTTAATCAGAGAAGCAGGAACAACAAAGACCCACAGCTTAGATGGGAGAACCTGTTGACATGACAACTACGAGTCCTGCAATTCAGAAATCTTGTCTTCATGGAACAATGGCAGGGAAAATGTCATTTTGAAAAGAAGGCCATGAGAAGTCTAGTTTGCAATTTGCTGGAAGCCTTGTAGGAGACAACAAACATGTTGAAGAGGGTTCTCTTGTCAAAAGAGACCACTTTTGTTGAAGGGGGCTCTACATGGGAGAATCAAAGTGAACAAGGTATCAATGAAACCATTATGCTGTGGGGATGATAGATTGATTTAAATACCAGAAAATCCTGGAAGAAATTCTGACTAAGACTAAACTCACAGCCAGACCTACAATGGAGTGGGTTTATATTGAAGCGTGTTCATGAGTTAGAATGGCCCAGTCAAAGTCCAGGCCTAACAGACACCACAACTGATGTTCACAGATATTCTTCATTCAGTTTGATTGAGCTTTAACTATTTTGCAAAGAATGAATAAAAATTTACAAAGCTGTTAAAACACATAAAGGCTGTAAATGAACACCAAGCTGCATACTCTGATGTAGAAATGTGAGTGTGGCTCCTGGAATCACACATACAAAGCTCTTCGTGTTCAGAGAGACTAGAAAAGAACGAAAATGTCTATGTCAATTTACCATCTAGATATTTATGTGTGAAAACATATAAAACCATGCTGCTGGCACTTCTCCTTTGTGCATTACTTTGTGTTGCACAGCAAATTCGGAAGTGTTAGATTTCCAGTGTAAGTGTTGTATGTTAAAAATACAGTGTAAATTCAACAACATGAGTGTTAGTGAGTCTTAGTTTCCCTAACACTCACTTACAGAGTTCCAAAGACTTAAACAAAAAGCAATCCAGTCCATTGTTGATTTCTAAATTAACTCCAACAGTCTAAATCAACACTCAGATTGGTGTTGACTTAGAAATCAACACCAGACAGTTCCTCACACAATTGTAACATATTTGTGATGTCGCATCAGGGAAGGAGCAACAGATAGAGTAGGGGTTGCAACAGGCCCCTAGCCTGGACCTACAAGGGGGTCTAATGGGAAGCAAAACATGCCTTCAGGAATCCAAATTTAATTTATAACATCCAATGAAAACTGTAAAAGAGAGCCTTGTTGAAAATTGTTTATAATACCCAGTAATTTATATAATAAAGTGCCCCATTGTTGACTCATGGTTGCTAAAAACCTTACCAGACTGACTGATTTTAGTGACATAGTAAATGTAAAATATTGAATAAAATGTTGTGCTACATGACTGGCTTTATTTTCAGTCTTATATTTAACTTTATGACACACAAAACTACAAATGAATCGTCCTTATTGTCTATGTTTAATGTCTTTGTTATGACAACTTGACATTAACCAAGAAATCATTACTGTTATAAATTTGTTATAAAAGTATTACTGATTGCACTTTAAAAATCAGGTAACTTTATGTTATTAAAGGTAAAGTTTAAACAGAAATGATTTCTTGGTTAATGTCAAGTTGTCATAACAAAGACATTTTGAATAATGTCAACTTTGTATTAAAAGTGTCATAATTTACCGAATGACGCTTTATGACAACAGTCATAAATATTCATGAAGGCTTATTGATGTTCATGACAGGTGTTATGTCATGTTAATGAAAGTGTCATGACAGTCTTTTTCACCCCCCTTCAAATAAAGTGTTACCCAGATTTCTATGTTAATATATACTTTACACCGTTCTGTGTTAGATTAACACGTTCATAGTGTTAACTTTTGACACTATACACTAGTGTTGGGTAGATTAACACTGAAGTGTGTTTGATTTCAACTACTATGAGTTTTGATTCAACTCTATCACAAATAACACTTTCAAAAGTGTAACTTCTACACCATCCAGAGTGGACCAATATAGACACTTTCAAAGTGTTGAATTCAACTCTGTAGGAGTTTATGGAACACTTCCAAATTTGCTGTGTGGTGTATCACAATAAAATACATAGAGGATTGTTGCTGCCTTTTTGCAAAACACGGTAATGGAATAAAAACAAATATTGCAGATCTCTTCACTGCATAACAAAGCTGGCAGGAAGAAACAGGAAAAACAGCAGGGAATGATTTAAAACAAGAAAAAAAGTGCTAGAAATAAAACCAAGGCACAACAAGAGATCAGACTGACCATCTGCTGTCTTTTGAGTTGCATAATTTTGCCTCTTTTTAGTACTTTTCCAAAAACAAATCAAAAACGTTGATTTTACTGTGTACATTCAGGCCTGCACATAGCCCCATTAAAGAATATAAAGAAAAATCTGAAGGCAAACCTGAACATGCTATCCCGTAATGTTGTCCACAAACATGCTCAGAGAGAGACAGGAAAACATGAATGACCTATTGACCTGCTACTTTAAAAGTAATAGAGCTGTTGAAGTTGTTAAAAAGCAGCTTTATAAACAAATAAAGATTTTACTGCATGTTTTAGATTGTCTGACAGGGCCGCTGCTGTAGATCTTCAAAGTCAACATTTCTGAGCCTCAAGTTTTATGTTTTCGTTTTTTCTTCTGTTCATTCCCTGGACGAACTGGATGTAAACCACTTCCTCATGCACCTCCCCACTTCAGCATTCATACAACAGCAAAACTAAAGATGCTAACAGGCAGCTGAATGATTTTGTGGATGAGCATAATACCGTGTAGATTTTATTTTAATTTTAAACAAGGAGAATAGGTTTGCACCAAGTTACACTTAAAACCATTAAAAACTTAAAACTGTTTTCCTTTACCACGGACACACAGGGGCAGAAATCTACCCAGTCATAACATCCGACTTAACTCCCGAAAAAGTACAGGAACCAGCCAAAGTACAGATTCGTTGTTTCCACTAACAAAAGCCATACGGGCTGTGCACTGCTCACCGCATTCATGTCGATGGTCATGTTAGTTTGTGCAGATGTCTTGTTGTCTGACGTAGGGCAGGAGTTCACAGAAGACGGCAGCTGGACTAGACCCGTCTGCTGGAGAGGAAGCAGTGGAATCACAATAAATAAGTTTGTCTCATAACACAACTACAGAGAGAAGAATCCTCTCTAAAGGTAGAAGACAGGCTTTGATGTGTCATGCAGATTAAGGCACCTGGCCTTCCTGTTTTTTTTTTTTTTTTTTATAAGACACATTGTGACTTCCACTAGACAAATCTAAACCTAAACAGTTTGTGATTACGCTGCATTATTAGCGCCAAAATTAGGACTATTGTGAACCCAATGATTCACAATAGTGAACCTGTGAACCGCTGGGTTCCACCTACTGCTGACATGATTAATGATATGCTGGCATCAGTAAAGGTTTCATAAATCACAAACTAAATTTTAGATATTATGCTTTCAGTGCAGAATAATTTAGTCCATGCTTGAAGAGTCTAAGTATTGAAGTTTTACAAGAGCAAATTAAAGATGTTCAAGGTAGTAAAATGGGAATTGCCCATTAGCCATTTACTGGAATCAGAAACTCAATCGGAAGCCAACTTCAGTTCCGTATTATACAGCATGTTTATGCTTAATGTGTTAGAAAAGAACATGTCAATAAATCTAATATATGTTGCTTACAGATAATGCATGCCAATCATTTTCCTTCATAAAACTTTCTTCAAAAAAAAACGTGAGTGACCAGCCTAAGTATGCTAGCTGTTAGCCTATTCAAGGATAATGCTAGCCCATGCAAGGGAGATACTAGCTTATCTCTACTGCACTGGAGTGCCAGAGGAAGCAGGCACTCCAGTGGGTGACCCACCTTGGCATGCAAGTCACTAGCCTCTGCAAAGCTAATGCGACTGAGTAGTCTTCTTCTCATTAGCCATCGTCGGCCTTTCAGTTACCAGCACTGGACTATCATTAATGAGGTCAGTAGCCAGCTTCAGAATGAATATAGCCTTGTGCAATAAGGAAGCAGCCACGGCTAGGTGTGAAATAGTATTAATTTTAGCACTAATACTGAGCCATATATGATATCTGTTTGGGCTTAACTCCATCCAATATAAGCTAGTAAACTAAACCTAGAGTAAAACATCTCCATTAATTCCATAGCGAAACAGTCTATAGTCAGAAGTGACACATATAAATTTAAAAACAGCCCTGTTACACCACCAGAAATATTTTGTGATGCTCCTTTTCTGTTAAACAATGGCGGAAGATCGATGATTTGTAATTTTATTTGCTGTTACCGGGTCAACAATCAATTCTGCTTAGAAATTACTCTTACAATACTGAGATATTACAAAGGCTTAGTCAAAGTCCAGACCTCAAACTGAATAAAATGTTGTGATACCAGGTAAAAAGAGACAAGTACAAAACCTCAAGTCAGCAAATGTCAATAAAAGTGAAACCGCATTGTTAAGAAGGGTGGTGAGAATTCCTCTACGATGATGTCAGCAACTAATAAGGTTGCATTAAGATCAATAACTTCAGATTATTGCTGCTTTAATGCAAGATGGAATGAATTATACTTATTGCTTCTGGATTTTCACTTTATGTTAAGTTCAGAATATGAAAGGATGGTCATATCACTTAGCAAATTCCAAAGGGGATTTCTTTCCACTATGCAAACATCTAAATATGCACTCCTGATCAAAATTATAAGACTGGGGAGAAAATGACTCATATTATAACCAGGTAGTAGAGTAGTACCAGAGTTTTATAATGGAAACAAAGAAACATGAGCAAGAGACAAAACAAACAGAGAAGACAAATTAGAAATTGCACTTGAACTCAAGGATGCACTTCAGCAGATGACCAAAGGTTTAGGAGTTTAGGAGTCCAAACCTGGGCATAAATCTTGCTTTCATATAATTTTCCATCATGTTCCTCTGAGGCCAAAAGCAAAAAGCCTTCCTTCTTTGATTTTTGTAGGACTGCTGAGCTGCACAAACAAAACCTCTTACCACACTCCATCACTGGTAAGGTTGGACATTTTAAGACAGTAATTTAAAAAAACCTGTGTGCTATAGGAGGAAAAAGCCAAGTCATATTCCATCTGCTCGGAGCCAGACGTGGCTCAGAGCAAGATATCTGTGGTCTTAAACCTTTGATCAAAGAGTTTTCAACAGCATTTTTTGTTGTTTACTCTTGTTTCTTCTTTTGGCAATTTAAAGCATTTGGTTATGATGCAGCAGCAAGTAATGCTAATACTTCTTTCCTGCTTTCAGAATGTTAATCGGGAGTGTAATGTGGGATCAGGTTAACTGTTGAACATTTTGCATAACAGCTGACTTTGGACAGAAACTCACTTGCTGGTTCTGGTGTGTCTGGGGCATTGACTGCTGATTGATGAAAGAATACTGGGACAACTGTTGTTCAAGATTCATAGCACTGATGGCCGCCTGGGGAGAACACACACACAGACATACAAAAAAACATAATGAGAGGTGACATTAATGGACCCTTGAAATATTAAAATGCTAACAAAAATGCAATTTTCTGGAGGCATCTGGGATTGAATCCCTAACCTCGAGACGTCTGATGTTTGTCTTTGCCCCTTTTCTTTCTGCACGTGTCTTTAAAAAATACTGCGAATGAAGTTTACTAGCACTACAGATCCTTTAAAAAGGCCTATAGTGTGAGTCGACTGGGTAGCGAATCTGGATTTGTTTTAACTAATTAGCTATTTTTAACTCTTTAACATGACAATGTTGTTAGTGAAATAGACACTGGTGCAGATTCAGGTGTGTGTCAGAGTCATGTAACCTATGCTGGACGGGGCTAAGATATCACAAGATATTTCACCTGAGAGCAACTGAAACAAAAGTCAGAACATTTTACCCTTTTGAAAACACAGAGTTAAATTCATGAAGCATCAGATGATATTTTCTGTAAGTTTTGTTTAAGCTTTAACTGGAACCGAACTGAAATGTTACAAACCCATTTATCAACAAGCTATATCAAAACTGAGAGGAAACATGCTAATATTAAGCTAGCCTAACTTTGCTACGCAAACTGCTTCATGTAACAAGATTGTCATTTGGAGCATGAGATGTTGGCTTGCTAACTCAGTACATTCAAAATACACGAGGCATCATCTGTGACGTCTTCGCACAACATTTCCAATATCTTGAGCCACATCCATCTAAACAAGATTTAATTTTGTTTCTGTTACTTTTACGAAACAATTAAAAGATGGAATTAATCAACACAATGTTTTTTTTTCTTACACTTGGTGAGTTGATGTTGGCCTCAATAAACAGAAGGATGCTGTTTTTAAACCAAAACTGCAACTTCAAGGAGACATCACTATGCAAATAGAATTTAAAACTAATGAAATACCAAGCTGAAAAGTATTTTACCTGTCATTGAACTTGATTTAAACAGCTGAGGTAAATCGTTCTCCCATCCATGTCAAATTGAAAGCTCCCAATGACATGAACAGCAAAAAGCTTTATTCACGTCACCACTGACAGGTTTAACCTGCAGATTCTTTTGTAGATTTAGTCTCTTTTTCTTTGCTGATTTCTCCATGCTTGTTAAATAAAGTAAAATAAGAATTTCTCTATCCCAGTTCCTTGTTGGAGCAGAGAATACCTGGGATAGAGGAAGTGGTGGAGAAGTTTGGGAGAGTTGTAGGCTCTGCTGCTGGTGTGAGTCTCCTGCATTCAGAATGAGAGGAACCATGTTCTCCTGGCCAGGCTCCATTTCCATGGTTACTGTTGGCTGAGAGGTGTTCCCTCCTACCCAGTACAAAAAAACAGCACAGGGGAAGTCTTCTTAAAAGCACATGAAACTGGCACTAACAGAAGTTTGAAATGAAAAGCCCTGTGGGGATGTGCTTGAGCTCATCAGGAATTAGAACTCAATAATAAGTTTTGACTGAGCCCATGGCTCCATATGAGGACTACCTGGAGTCTGAGTGCTGCCGGCAGAGCCGAACGAGGCGGCCGCAGTGTCGTCTGAGTCCAGCGGGGTAGGCAGAGGAGGAGGAAACTGGATGTTGGTCAGGTCGGGAAGAGAGCCGCCACTGTTGTGGGCCACTGGTTTCAGAGACGTGGCCATCTGCTGCTCTGGGGTCGGGAATATGCTGCAGGAAACAGCCCAGATAGCATATGATGTTAAATCAACGTTGAAAAATAGT